TTTAAAATAAAATATTTAAAAGATCAGTTTTTAAAAATTAAAAATATAATAATTTAATTTTTAAAGTTTAGAATTAAAAAATAATTAGTAAATATCATTGTCATATATAGGATAATAGTACTAAATATCTAGAATCAAATTGAGTTATTAGTTTAATTTGTAGAAAGAATTCTAAATGATATTAAAGAAAATTTTTTAGCTAAATTAAGATAGAAAATCTAAGAAATTAAAAGCATACAACTAAAAAATCTTCTTTAATCTTAGTTAAATTTTTTTGCTTAAATTAAATTAATCACTCAATTTGATCATTGGTATTTAATATTATTTTTGTATATATGAGAAAAATATTCACTAATTATTTTTAATTTAGTTTAAAAATTCCTAGATTTAAAAACTAAAAATTTTCATAGTGTGGCTTAAGGTAAAGTCTAAAACTTTCTAACTTATTAAGCCAAGGTACTAAATACATATTTTAGCCTACCTCGCAAACCTGATTCTAAACTTTGGATCATCATAAGATGCTCTCTCCCGCGGCACATCTCGTGCTCTGCTATGGCGGGTTTATAGGATGTTATACATGGAGAATCAAAACACACACGCACGCATGAAGCCCTTCTCTCCCACCTCCTCACCCCTTATTTCTCTCTGAAACACCGTTCGCCGATGCCGATTCTCTGTTCTCCATCCTTCATCTTCTCGGCTTTGAAATTAGAAAAGGCAGGAGCCAAGATGTTTTACTCGCACCAGCTTCTAGCGCAGAAACCTCCTCTCGGCCTGATATGGTAATCGTTTTCTTTTTTTGATTTCGTTTTTACAGTTGTTCTTGGTTATGAATTGGTAATCTCTGGAACTTACTCTGTTTTTTTTTTTTTTTTCTTGTACTGCTACTTTGATTTCTCGATCTTCAAGTTAATCTCTGAAGCTTTTGTGTTTGAAGGATGGCAGCCATAATGGACGCCAAGAAGGATTGAAAGAAGTTAATCAAGTTGAATATAATCAAAACTTTGGTAACTCATTTTTTTCTTATTATTTTTTATTTTTGAGTTTTCATTAATTCAAACTCCAGCAATTAATTCAACGAACTTCAATTAACTTAATAGCACTGCATAGGACTAAACGGTCAAAGTTTTTGGTTAACTAAATTTTTTTCAATAAACTTATAAGAACCAAATACCAAACCATATATGACTTAGAAATTTCAGTTGAGTAACTGAAATTGAACAGTTTTTTTGGTTTGGTTTTAATAAAACCATTTTTAAAAGTATCTTTTACCTAATAATAACACAATTGAAATACTTCCAATTTCATACAACTAATTTGAAATTTCAATATGATAACATTCATTCCATTATTTCAATATCATTAAAAAAAACAATATTTATCATAATATTGAATCAAACAATAAAAAATGTTGTTAATCTTTATACTGGAGAAAATTGGTTTTTTAGTTAAATAGGAACCACTATTTTAGTTTTTGAAATTTGACTTTAAAACCAAATACATTTTGAAATATAGAGTGGTCAATGTTAGTTTTATCTGAATTTTACAAAAAACTAAATATAACCAAGCCAAAATAATAATTTTGGTTCAAAATTTCAATGTTTTCGGTTTACAGCCAAAAAGAAAACGCCCAGCCCTAGCACTGTACAATGAACCTCATTACTCATTAGTCTGTTTTCTTGGTCTAATTTTCTTTTTCCTTTTCAAAGTTCGGTGATTGAATTTTAAGTTTCATATTTGGATCAGGTCGAAATAAAGGCAGCTTGGAAGATTGCACAAGACCCCACTCTCCTCCCTAAAGGAATATCCCAAGCCAAGTATGTCTCCTACTTAAAATAAACCTTGTATTTAGCTAGTTGTGGTTATGGAAAATGATGCATGTCAGCTAAGCCTAGTGGTGTTTCTGGGCCTTAGTGTATAGTTTGCTATTGTTTCATACACACTTAGCTAATTTCGTAACCCATCATTGCAATTTGTGGCGAGAGTTAAATTTTCAAAGAGGATTTATTTTAACGTTTGAATTTGGGAGGTTTTGGTTGTTGAAGAGAATGTTGACTATGACTTTCGTATTAATTAATAAATCAAAACAGGTGGTGGCGGCTTAAATTCATTGAAACTTTTTCAAGGGTTTTAGCGAGAATTTTGATGCAACATCTGAAATTGGTGTGTCTTAGTTGTCCTGAACAGAGTGCCGAGTCAAGCCATAGGTTGAGAGGGCAATGTTACTACTATTAGGATTAGCATAGTTTTGGTAAAATCACATCTTTTTCTTTGTAGCCCTGAGGCACAGATTGATAAAATCAAATAGGAAGGTTACTGTTTCCACCTTAATTCGCGTCCTATTACACAATCTGAAACAGAAAACACAGTAATCCCCAGAGGTAGGTGGAGAATAAAATTCAAACTGTGAACAATGTGTTATTTTTTGGGTTTCAGGGCACAGTTTCTGTTTAGTTGAAGTTGCTAAGAGTAAGTTTTCTTGGCCTGAGTGTGTCATTCAAACCTTTTAGAAGATAAGTTCAGAGGTTTGCGTACCCTGAGTACTTTGAATATCTCACAGGCTAATCTACACTTTAGTATAGCCTCTCATCCTTTGACAAAAAGTAGGGAAATATTAATGGCAGTCCCATCCTGATTGGTTTTGAGAACCTGTGTCTTGGATTTTAAGGTTGGTTTTGAGGTCATTGACTCACTGTCCAGTTCACTTACACATCTGGTTTCTTTGTGGTTCCCAGTGGATTTTTAGAGTGCTTGATCTGCCAAGATAAACTGAGTCCAGTTTGATTCTTTTGAGTTTGGCCCAATTATGGAACAAGACTACAAAAGGGACTTCTATATTTTGAACCTTATAAAATCTTTTTATTTTTTTATGTAATAGACTAATTAATTAAAATTCTCATAAAAGAGATATAAAGAGGGATGGAGATTTTTTTTTTATTTTTGAACAATGTTGTCATGGGGCGGGTTTGAACTTGCGCAGGGAGGAGGGGGGTGCACTTCAAGTTGGCTGAAAACCACTTAACCCGAAAGATCAAGTGCAAGAGAGATGAAAATTTAACCTTGAACTATATAAGTGAAGAATACTTTCTTTTCTTTTTTTTTTTATCAATAGTTGTATAAGTTACTCTATAACTTTTTTTTTTTCTCTGTTAATTGGACATGCATACACATGCAAAGAAGTTTGAACATAATTTAATATAAGAATTTCCCTTTTTATTTTATTTTTATGGTTTTTTTTTCCCTCTATTACATTGTTTGTTCATTTGACTCTTCCAGTCCTTTCTTACGTTTCAAGAGATTTTTGTCAGTTAATGCGACAAACTGGCATTGGAAACTTAAAAGAGAGTTTAATCTATGTGTCATAACATATATAATCTTTGTAAGTTCATTTCTTCAGTTTTTTAATGGAAAACCCAAATGGGTTACAACCAAATCTGTTTAATCGAGAAGCATTTTTTTTTTTTAATCAGCGGGTCATACAATGAGAGATTACAAGGCCTTCATTTCCAAGAGAAAACAAATGAGAAATATCAAGTATTTCCAAAAAAAAGGAATACATTATACCTAGAGCAAAAGAAAGGAAGGAATTATAATCCATATACAACTTCCATGGCTAAATTCCTAAACAAACAGGATCCCTAATTTCAGATTGCCCCAAATTCCACAGCTTCATAAAAAGAGACGGAAATTGCAAGAACCCAAACAAAGAATTCAAATGCAACCAATACCCATTTAGAATTGATCATTTAATTCATTAAGATTTTCATTTTACACAAGAATGAGTCTCTTTCCACCCTAAACAAAGCAGTAAACTATTCCAAGACTAGACATATCCATCACAAAACCTTATACACAAGCATTGGACTGGTAAACACTGTCATAGGAACTGAATAGCAACATAGGAACCCTTTAGGATTGACATTATAACTTTGAAGATCATGTTGATGGGCAATTGAGCATGGCATCATTCAAGGAAACCTGTTTTTGTCAAGACAGCATTCCTCACTTTGCTGAGGTCCCTCCCTTTAAGTTTCCTGCCGACTCCTTCAAGAACTGAGAAAGAAGAAATCTGACTCCTTGCAAGCCTTCTAGCCAGATATTCATGTGGTGGAATCTTGGAGTTATATTCATCATCGTCTTCATCATTATCTTCACCATCACCATCTCCAAAATCATTGTCATCATAATCACACCATGAAGCAGCCTTCTTTGATTTCTTCCTGGAAACCTTTGACCAGTCAGGAATGTTCAGAGGAGCTGATTGCTGTCTAATTCCATTTGCCTCATGGGAGGAACTAGAACTATCACTGCTAGTAATTGCAGCAGCAATAGCAGAAGGAGCTTTTGGGATCATTCTTGCAACACTTGGGGGGTGTCTTTTAGCAGAAACTGTGGAATTCATTGATTGACCAACCCTGGTACTATAATCTTTTCCCTCCTTGAGAACTGCCCAAACATCTTCTTCTTCAAAGTCTCCATCCCTCAAAGATCTCCACACTCCACTGCCCTGCCTGGAGAATCCATGTACACCATCCATGGCTGAATTCCTAAACAAACAGAATCCCCAATTTCAGGTTTCCCCAAATTCCATTACTTAAAGAAAAGAGACAGGAAAAAATCTCAAGAATCCCAAAAGGAGTAAAGAAAAGAGAAAGCAGTTAAGGTGAACAAGAATAAGAATCTACCTTTCCCTGAATTTAGAACCCTCAAAGGCCAAAACTTATCCAAGATTCTGAATGGTATCTGCAGAAATGAAAATTAGTTAAAAGGGAAAGGTTTAAAGAATATCTTATTCTGCAGGAACAGAGAAATCTTTATACAAAGAAAGATCAAATTATTGATCAAAATTCTAAACTTAAGAGTTCCAATGATATTACCTAAAGAGATCTCAGAGAATTTGCAGTGGCAGTGAGCTTCAGAACTCTCCTCTGTTTCCCCTCGGTCATTCAAGAGACTGGTTTTTGACAGAGAATAAAGTTGGACAGAAGATATCGCAAAGTGAAAGACTAGATTTTGTTTTGGTAAAGGTTTTAATGACTTTCCTGATAAACTTGCATGAGCAAGATTTTTCTAAGGTGAATGAATCAGAGAAAGAAAGAAAACGAGAATCTCTAAAAATGGATTTACTTA